GCAGAAATGCGACTGACCAAATAGGCCACAAAGGCTCACCAATCTCCTAACTGCCTGGAGTCAGTTGTCTTCTCTAGTTCTGAGTTAGTCGATCTGGCTAACTGACAGTTATTTTAATCCTTGGTTTACACTCCCTTCCCTACTCCCAAATCTTCTTATATTTAACAGTGCAATAGAAACAATGAGGCTGTTGGCAGGCATCATCAATCATCAAAAGCTAGAACTGATGTCATAGCAATTTTGTAATTGCTAGCTATGACAGTTTGACACTTGAAGGACAGGGCAACCTCTATAGATATTATTTTTAATTTTGAGAAAAATCCTGGTGAGCACAATGTTTGAGATGTGCTATAAACTTCCTCCTTTGTCTCTATGGAGCTGTCCCTCCCCATTTCCCTATTCTCTGTCCTTGTTTGTAAGTCCCTGTCATATTCCTTCCTGTCACCAGTTTCACATATATATAGAAGTTTTATTTAAAATTAATTGCATTGTTTCTGGAGCCATAGTGAAAGATACTATATAAATCTCACAAAAAGATTAGTAATTATACAAGTAAAAAGGTACCTCTTATTTCCTAACTTTCACAATTGCATCCAATAATTTATTTCTCCCTTCCCCTAAATCTTCATTATGCTGCAATCATACATTATTGTTTCTTAGATGAGAACAGATTATTTATTTGTTGCAAGTAAGCCCAGAAGAGAAGCCCAGGCACTACATGTAGAGGAAGGTTGCTTAGCAGCATCATGTTAAAAAATAGTTGATCTATAAGATCACAGGGTAAGTCATTAGGAACACTAGTGTGCTCTGGGAAAAAAGCCCTGCCCTAGTTTCTGTCATCAAATCATGTCTTCTTTGCAAACTATCTTTTCCAATGGTTAATATAAATGGTATAAGCCAAGATGGAATAAGCCCAGTTTAGACTACCATTCTCAATTATAACTAGAAATGCTGAACAAAATACAAAAAGCTTCTACCTTTGGGCAAAATACTATAGCAAGATAATTGGTGAGGAAAGTCAAAATTTGAAGAACAACCAGTAAAGCTGTGAAACCATGGAGGCCATTTAAAGTAAAACATTTTTAAGATGTTGAAAGAAAAGAAGTCAACTCAGAATTATACCATATAAACAGGCACATATAACTTTGTTGCACTTTGCTTTATTGCACTTCACAGACTATGTATTTGTGGTTTTAGTTTTTTTTTCTTTTTTTACAAATTGAAGATTTGTGGCAATCCTGCATTGGGCAAGTCTACCAGTATCATTTTTCCAACACCATGTACTCACTTTGTGTATCCATGTCACATTTTGGTAATTCTCATATTTCAAAAATTTTCATTCTTATTTTATGTTATGATGATCTGTGATCTTTGATGTTACTATTATAATTGATTCAGAGTGACACAAACCGTTCCCATATAAGGCAGCAAAAAATTCATAAATGTTGCAGGTGTTCTGACTGCTTTACTACCTGGCTATTCCCCATCTCTCTCTCTCTCTCTGCTCTGGTCTCCCTATTCCCTGAGACAAAACAATATTGAAATTAGGCCAATTAATAACCATATAATGGACTGTAAGTGTCCAAGTGACAGAAAGAGTTGCATGTCTCTCACTTTAAATCAAAAACTAGAAATTATTAAGTTTAGTGAGGAAGACATGCTGAAAGTCAGACAGGCTGGAAGCTAGGCCTGTTGCACCAAACAGCCAAGTTGTGAATATAAAGGAAAAGTTACTGAAGGAAATTAAAAGTACTACTTCAGTGAACATTTGAAGGATAAGCAAAAAATCCTTACTAATGATATGGAGAACATTTCAGTGGTCTGGATGGAAGACCAAACCAGTCACAACATTCCCTTAAGCCAAAAGCCTAATGCAGACCAAGGTCTTAACTCTCCTTAACTTTATGGAGATTGAGACAGGTGAAGAATCTGTGGAGGAAAAGTTCAAAACTAGCAAAGATTGGTTCATGAGGTTTACAGAAAGAAGTCACATCCATAACATAAGAGTGCAAGGTAAAGCAGCAAGTACTGATGGAAAAGCTGCAGCAAGTTAACCAGAAGATCTAGCTAAAATAATTCATGAAGGTGCAACACTAAATAACAGATTTTCAATGTAGACAAAACAGTCTTCTATGGGAAAAAGATGCTATCTAGGATTTTCATAGAGGAGAAATCAATGCCTGGCTTCAGAGCTTCAAAGGACAGGCTGACCCACTTGTTAGGGCCTAATGGAGCTGGTGACTTTAAGCCAAAGATCATCTGCCATTATGAAAATCCTAGGACTCTTAAGTATTATGCTAAATCTATTCTGCCTGTGCTCCTTAAATGGAACAGGAAAGCCTGGATGACAGCAATCGGTTTATAGTGTGGCTTATTGAATATTTTAAACCCACTGTTGAGACTACTACTTAGAAAAAAAGATTCCTTTCAAAATATTATTGTTCATTGACAATGCACCTAGTCATCCAAGAGCTCTGATGGAGACATAGAAAGATATGTTGTTTTCATGCCTGTTGACACAACATTCATTCTATAGCCCATAGATTAAGGAGTAATTTTGCTTTTCAAGTTTTATTAAGAAATACATTTCATAAGGTTATAGCTGCCATAAATAGTGATTCCTCTGATAGATCTGAATAAAGTAAACTGAAAACCTTCTGAAAAGGATTCACCATTCTGAATGCCATTAAGAACATTCATGATTCATGGGAAAAGGTCAAAATATCAACATTGACAGGAGTTGAGAAGAAGTTGATTACAATCCTTATGAATAATTTTGAGGGGCTCAAGACCTCAGTGCAGAAAGTGACTGCAGATGTGGTAGAAACAGCAAGTGGAGACTGAAGATATGACTGAATTGCTGCAATTTCATGATAAAACTTGAATGGATGAAGAATTGTTGGATGAGCAAAGAAAGTGGTTTCTTGAGAAGGAAACTACTCTTGGTGAAGATGCTCTGAACATTATGGAAATGACAACAAAGGATTTAGAATAATTCATAAACTTAGTTGATAAAGCAGCAGAAGAGCTTGAGAAAATCGACTCAAGTTTTTAAAAAGTTCAACTGTGGGCAAAATGCTATCAAACAACATCACATGAAACAAAGAAATCTTTTGTGAGAAGAAGAGTCAATCGATGGAGCAAGTTTCATTGTTGTCTTATTTTAAGAAATTGCCACAGCCAGCCCAGCCTTCAGCAATCACCACTCTGGTCAGTCAGCAGCCATCAGCATTGAGGCAAGATCCTCTACCAGCAATAAGATTATGACTCATTGAAGTCTCAGGTGATGATTATCACTTTTTATCAATTAAGCATTTTAAAATTAAGGTAAGTACACTTTTTTAGACATAATGCTATTGTGTACTCAACAGATTACTGTATAGTATAAATATAACTTATATGCCCTGGAATACCAAAAATTCATGAGGTTCACTTTATTTTTCAATACTTGCTTTATTGCAGTGATCTGGAACCAAACCTGCAATATCTCCAAGGTATGTCAACAAAATATCCACACAACAAAAATATCCTTAGGAATAAATGTAAAATAAAATATACTCAGATTAAAGAAAATAAAGAGATCCTATTGCTAAATATTTACCCAAGTGAAATGAAATAAAAATCTACATTTATACAATAACTTATACATAAATGCTTAGATGGCAGCTATATTCATAATTGCTCCCAACTGGACACAAATAAAATGTTCCTCAACTGGGTAACAGATAAACTATGGTCATCTATACAATGGAATACTATTCATTAATGAAAGCAAAAAAAATTATTGACACATACAACACTGTGGCTAAATCTCAAATGCATTCTTCTCTGCAAAAGAAGCCAGTTTCAAAGATTATATCCTATATGATAGGATATCATTTATATGGCATCTAGAGAAAGATAAACTGTAGGATGAACGACAAATCAGTGATTTTCAGGATGTAAAAGGTGGGAAAGGGGCTTTATGACCAATGAATAGCCAGTCAAGGGAATACATATATATATATATATATATATATATATATATATTGCAACTGTTGTATATCTTAAATGTTGGGGTGGTTTCATGCCTCTGTGCTTTTGTTAGAACTCACAGAATTTTAACCAAATGAGTGTATTTTACTATCAATTTTATATATTAAAATCAAATTGAAAAATATAAAACTTGAAATCTTGATATATTTTTCTAATGCAATTTTTTGATAATTCAATTATCCAACTGCATGTACTTACATAGTCATAAAGAGCAAACTGTATATGTAATATAATGGCAAACCGCCAAATTTCAACTGAAACCTTTGAAATAAAATGTTACTTGACAATAAAATCTACTTGGTTTTCATACATTTTGGGAGAAGTCCAAAAACCTTCAGAATGAATTTTGCCACCCAAGTCAGTGAAAGTGTTTCAATATAATTTTTTTTTTTAAGTTGGAGTCTCACTCTGTTGCCCAGGCTTGAGTGCACAGTGCCACTATCATGGCTTACCACAGCCTCAGCCTCCTGGGCTCAGGAGATCCTTTCAACTCAGTCTCCCAAGTAGCTTGAGCTACAGGTGCATGCCACCATGCCTAGCTAATTTTTTTGACTTTATTATAGAGACAAGTCTCGCTATGTTGTCTAGCCTGGTCTCTAACTCTTGGTCTCAAGTGATCCTCCCACCTCAGCTTCCCAAAGTGCTGGTATTTTAGGCATCAACCACCATGACCAGCCTAAATTCTTGCCAATTATATAGAATCTTCCAAATGTGATTATATGATCACAATATTTATTTTGACCTGGTATTTAAAATAAATAGACATATGTCATATGTCATATCATATTTGGCACTATAATAAATATTTCAATATACACACAATTATAATTGCTATTAAGGGTAAAATCATGCAAGGCTCAGCCTTGATTCTTCTGACACTGACCTAACAAGTTTTTCAAATGCTTGCCATATTGCTCTGTGAGGACTGGCAGAGTAAAATTGTTTAAGATTAAATTTTAACATACCCTGTCAAAGAGTGCAAAAAGTTGTCTCAAGACATCTGAAACAGGAAACTTTAAATACTCTGCAAATTCTTCAATTCCAATTCTTCCTCCTTTTGAGGAACTTGCAATAGATGCATATTCATCCAAATGTTTACGAACACCATCCCAATCTAATCTAAATGAACAAATAATTATAAATACATGTTATTAGCCCTTTTAATGGACATGTTATAAACATTATTTTATTAATGTGTCTGACAGAAAAATATTTTAAGTGTGAAATTTGAAAAGGAAAATAAAATAGACATTTAAATGTACATATTGAACATGTATACAGGCATTTAATTTTTAAAGAACATTAGTATAACTGATGATTATACCAAATATCTCAGGGAAAGAAAACTAATTGAGAAGAAGAGCAATATGGTGGAATAATAAATTACTCATGAGAAGAAAATAAGAAAGCACATTTTAATTCAAACATTACTTAGTAAGACAATAGTGGTTACTGGGTTGTTAAAAAAGAAATTACAGCTCTCTCTTTCAAGTAGCTTTCAGGCTGATAAGTTTATATTTCACAAAATATTGCGATAGGGAGATTCATTAAACTATACACATGTCCTCCAAAATTAGTTATGAAGAATAATGGTGATAAAACACTGAAAAACATACTGTAGCTTACATCACATCCTTTCTTTGCTTTGCATAATTAAGCAAGTAACTTAATACATACTTCTCTGCCCAATTTCAGTGACGATCTAAACTTTTCAAATCTATGGAATATTGTAAACAAACATCAAAACAAAAGCAAAATGTTTTTGCTATCTAGAAGATATAAACAATATTTTCTGTATCAATTATCACAATATTTACTTTTGTTTTTTTTTTGAGTTGGAGTCTCACTCTGTTGCCCAGACTAGAGTGCAGTGGCCACTCCCGGCCACCGCAGCCTCGACCTGCTGGGCTCCAGCCATCCTTCCACCTCAGCCTTCCAAGTAGCTGGAACTACAGGCGCGCGCTACCATGTCCAGCTAATTTTTGATTTATTGTAGAGATGAGGTCTCGCCACGTTGCCCAGGCTGGTCTCAAACCCGCGGGCTCAGGCAATTCACTCACCTCAGCCTCCCAAGGCGCGGGATTACAGGCTGAGCCACCAAGCCCGGCTACAATATTTACTTTTTTTTTTTTTTGAGTTGGAGTCTCAACTCTGTCGCCCAGACTGGAGTCCAGTGGCCATTCCCGGCCACCACAGCCTCGACTTGCTGGGCTCCGGGGATCTTTCCACCTCAGCTGTCCAAGTAGCCGGAATTACAGGCATGCGCTACCACACCCAGGTGATTTTTTTATTTATTGTAGAGATAAGGTCTCGCTGCCCAGGCGGGTCGCGAAAAATTTACTTTTATGGAAAGAAAATGTGTTACTAGTAGAACTGCCTTGCAAAAAATGTTAAAATAAGTTATTTAAGAGTCTAAAAAATTATATAGGTCAGAAACTTGCATCTATATAACAAAAGAAAGAGCATCAGAGAAGAAATAAGTGAAGGTAAAATAAAAACTTTTAATTTGTTATTCTTAATTGATTTAATAGATAAATTTCTTCAAAATAATAGTAGCAATAATGTATTTACATATATATACACACTTACTACATGTATATACATATATATACACACACTCTCAAATGAGCTATCAAGCCATAAAAAAAATAGAAGAAACATAAATGGATATTACTAGGTAAAATAAGTAAATCTGAAAAAAACTCCTGCATATTGTATGATTCCAATTACATGACTCTCTGGACAAGGCAAAACTAAAAAGACAATAAAAGGCTCAGTGGTTGCCTAGGGTTGGAGGGACAAAGGGATAAATAGGTAGAGCACAGAGGATTTTTAGGGTGATAAAACTGTTCTTTAGGATATTACAATGGTGGATATAATGTCATATATTTGTCCAAATCTACAGAATATGCAACAGAGAAAGTGAACCCTAACTATGGACTTTGAGTGATAATGATGTGTCAATGAAGGTTCATTGATCGTAACAAATGTACCACTCTAGTGAAGGATGTTGCTGTGCCAGAGAGGATGCCAAGGTCTATTGAATTAATAAATTCTGCAAATTCCTAATAGGGCTGTGAACAGAATAAGTTATAATAAGAGTGGAGGGGTGGGGGTGGCTGAGGGTTACACCTTGAGGGTTTTTGCCTTTTTATTAAAAAAAAAAAAAATAGGTACCCAGGAAAAAAAGATCTGGAGTAAGTACTTAAAATCTGCTGATGGTCAGAATTGTTACTATACAAGTCAATTCATGTTTCACATGTGAAGTTCTGACTATCAAATGCCAGTATCATCTAACAATGCCACTCTTCTTATAAGAAGGTGGTAGAACTAACTACTCTGAGTCATTTCTGAGTATGGAGGCAGATCTGTGTGGATATACATTTATCGTCTCTTGATCTCCTCCTGTGACTAATGCATATATCTCTGAGTTAAATGTTTTTGAAAAAGCAAAAGTGGATAAATAAAATGAGAGTTTATTTATTTATTTATTTATTTTTTGAGTTGGAGTCTCACTCTGTCGCCCAGACTGGAGGGCAGTGGTCGCTCCCGGCCACCGCAGCCTCGACCTGCTGGACTCCGGCGATCCTTCCGCCTCAGCCTTCCAAGTAGCTGGAATTACAGGCATGCGCTACCATGCCCGGCTGATTTTTTGTTTTACTGTAGAGATGAGGTCTTGCTGCCCAAGCGGGTCTCGAACCCGTGAGAGTTAATTTATAACTCTGGCTTTTCTAATAAACACCACGTGGGACCTAGAGCTGAATATTAAAAAAGGAGGAGAAAATAAACACATGGGGTTTCAAAGCTCTTTTAGATAACATTATGAAAGTGTAGTAATTTAAAAATATACTTACTTCAATTTCCGGCTAATTTTAGTAAACTCCACCAACCCAGCTTCCATAGGCAATGTTAGCTGTCCCGCTGAAATCATCAATCTGCAATCTTCATAGGTATGATCTGTTACTGGTATTCCTAGAGCTCTAAAAGTATTAAGAAGTAAACTGAAATTCAGTTGTTTTTTAAAGTAATCTTTTTCATTAGACTTGAATATGTCAACAAACAACAGTAAATGGAAAAGTATTTACTACTATTTAAAACTAGTAATGCCGGTTTTTCTCGACAAGGAGACATATATTTATCTACTTCTTCACAGACTTTCTGTGGCCCAAGTTAATCTCTTTATGTCTGCATGTTTCTGTGTTGTTGATAATTTTTGTTTTGTGTTTAGCAATAATAATAGTGGACTTGAGTTTCATGATAAGTAAATAGAAGACAGGTTCAAGTCCTAGAAGAGTCTTTTACCAGCTATGAACCTTTTGGCATTTAACCTAAGCTTCACTTTTCTTATAGGTATACAGAAATAGCTACACTACTTATTCCAAATGGTTACTGAAAGGATAAAATAAGAATGTCTGTGAAGGTTCTTTTTAAACAGATAAATGGCATTTATACATAATATAAGTGGACACTCTATCCAAGCTGCTAGCCATTTGTGTTTTCTTTTATCTTTTATAACCAGAAATAACTTTTTTTGCTACATAGCAATCTTCTAAAAATACTGAAGGGAATTGGTAATAAGCTGATATTTTTTCCAAATCTTAATACCATCTATCCTCAAAGGAAAGCATAACTCCTACTACCTGCTTTACTACTTTTCAGAGATCAAATAATAATAAATTAGATTTGGAAAAAATATATATGAATAAAAACCGAAAAAACACTGAATGTCAAGAAGACACATGAAAACTCATGAAAGTACATGAATTTTCTGAAGATTTCTCTTCACTAAATTTTTATTCACAAATATTCAGTGAAAGCCATAAAATTATATCTTCAACTATATTGGATTTTGTCAAATCATTGCTAGAAATATTAAATTTTGAATAAATGCAATCAGAATAAAACTCTTTTCCTAGGATGTTTTTGATTGGTAAGTATTTTGGTGTAAGAATATGTAAGATGGAAAATAAAATTCTAAAATATTTCAGGAGTTACAATAATAAAAAGTACAACATAATAGTTAATGGTCTTTGGTAATAGGAAATATGAATTTGAGTTCCAGCCCAGACCATCACTACTTAGTATGATTTTGGGCAAACCACTTACCTCCCTGAGTCTGTTTCCTTACATACATCATAGAGTTGCTGTGATGTGTAATGTTAAATAACACAAGTAAAGGACCCAGCACAGTACTTGATAAATGTTTATTAGCAGCAATTGGACCACTACTACCTTACATCTACCTTGATCTTTACTGTTTTCAAATGCTTTTATTATATATTTTCCTACTTGAGTGTCATAATTATCAAAACCATGAAAAAGGCAAGTCAATGATATTAATTCCCATTTCATACATGAGTAGAAGGAGCCTTTGAGGAGATTCTATTGTGCAGCTACTCCAAGTCTTTCTTACGCTTTTTCCAAGGATGCTGCACCTCTACACCTCCAAATTCAGAAAAAAGGTTGACTAAATAAGCCCCTTCTCTGTTTTGAGGCACATTTTGGGAAGCTAAAATATCTGATATAAATTCTCTCCATTTCTAATACTTGTCTTAGTTACTACCTTTTGGATATAAGATGGTATGAAAAAATAAGAAAGACAAGAAAACAATATAAAAGTTAATTTTGTGGCTGGCCTAGAAACTAGATAAAACAATGTATACCTAGGACACTTAGTAGCAACATTTCTTTCTCTCTTTTTTTTTTGCTAAACATTGTTTATCCTTGTTTCTTTCTTGAAAATAAAGTTATTCTGTAGTAAAATATTAAGAGACATATCAGAATAAAACATATATATGTATAAATACATATATACATACATATACATATATACTAGGGGTACCAAAAATGTATACATTTTATTTATTTTCAATTTTTAAAATTATTTATTTTAAATATGTGGGGTACAGTTCAGGGTTAGGTATACAAATGTTCATTATCCAGGTACTCTTGTTGATGAAGTGTGCCCCCACCCCCAGCAGTTTCCCACTACTGCCAATCCCACTCCTGCCCTCCCCTGGCAGTTTCCCACTACTGCTAATCCCTCTCTTATAGTATTATGATAGTTATTCAAAGTCCACTTATGAGTGTGAACATGTGATACTCGGTTCTTTGTTTCTGTAATAGATCACTCAGTATTATAGCCTCTAAGTCCATCCAAGTTGCTGCAAAGTTCATAATTTTGTCCTTCTTTATGGCTACGTAATATTCCATCATGTATATGTACCACATTTTAAAAAATCTAGTCCCCTTTCAATGGGCAGTATGGTTGGTTCCATGTTTTTGTTATTGTAAATAATGCTGCAATAAACACGCATATGCAGGTATCTTCCTCATAGAGTGATTCCCAGTAGGGGAATAGGTATATTCCCAGTAGGGGGATTGTGGTGTTGTATGGGAGGTTGATTTTTAGATCTTTTAGGAATTGCCACACTGTTTTCCACAGAGGCTATACTAGTTTACACTCCCACCAACAGTGTAGAAGTGTTTTTTTGCTGCATCCTCTCCAGCAACTGTTGTTTATTGATTATGGCCATCCAAACTTGAGTTAGATGGTATCTAAGTGTAGTTTTTATTTGCATTTCTTTGATGACTATAGTGAGGCTGAGGATTTTTTCATGTATCTGTTGGCTGCTTGTATATCATCTTCTGAGAAATATAGATATATATCTTTTGCCTACTTTGTAATGAGGCTGTTTTTTCTTTTAGGCATATTTGAGTTCCTTGTAGATCCTAAATGTTAGGTCTTTGACAGATGTACAGTTGGCAAATATTTTTTCCCAGACTGTGGGCTGTCTCCCTGCTCTCTTGATGGTTTCCTTGGCTTTGCAGAAGCTTGTCAGTTTGATGAGGTCCCACTTGTCTATCTTATCTCTTATGGCATGGGCACTTGGGGTTTTGATGAGGAATTGGTTGTCAGTTCTAATTTCCATAAGGATATCTCCTGCATTTTCTAAGATTTTTATAGTTTGTGGTTTTACATGTAGGTCTTTGATCCATTTAGAGCTGATTTTTGTGTATGGTGATAGGTAAAGGTCTTGTTTTAAAAATCTTCTGCATGTGGTCAGTTAGTTTTCCCAGCACCATTGACTGAATAGGTGCTCTTCTCCCCAGTGGTTGATGGTGTAGGCTCTGTTGAAGATGAGTTGGTAGAGAAATTGAGGTTTTGCTTCCAGAATCTCAATTCAGTTCCATTGGTCTATATAACTGTTCCTGTACCAATATCAGGCTGTTTTGATAATTGTGGCTTTATAATAAAGCTTAAAGTCTGGGAGCATGATGCCTCCAGCTTTTTTTTTTTTTTTGGCTGAGGATTGTTTTGGCTATTCGTGGTCATTTGAATTTCTGTCACTTCCAGGTCTGAGAAATGTATATACATTTTAAGAGATGTTATCTATGTATTACTTGTCAAAGTTGAATTGAATTATAGTAGAAGTGAGTAGTATGACATTTGCTCAAAAGATGGTGTTAATCAAATGGATGCTAGCATCACCATGCGGCAGGCAAGACAAAGAAAATGGCAGAAGCACAGTTGTCATTTGAGGAATGCAAGACCATTTTGAAGTGGTATTTGAAATTTGAAAACGTTGTGGAAGTACAGTGACAATAGAGACGTGCCTCCAACATGCCTCATGATTGCATACATTCATGATAAGTTTGAGACTCATGGTACTGTGTATGATGTGTACAAGGGAAAACCCGGAAGCCTTGCACAGCAACAAGTCCTGCAGTATTCTGCAGTAGTCAGAAGTGTCTAGATGCTGACAATAACCACTTTGAGCACCTCTTGTAATGCAGAAGTCAAATGTGATCTGTATTAATCTTTTGTTATCAGTATACATTAAGTATTATAATTTTTTCCTTTCTTAAAATGTATGTATATATTTTGACATCCTCTGTATATAAATCTGGCTATAAAGTCAAATTCAAATATGAAGCTAAATTCAGAGTTTCCAATGAATTTTTACTAAGAGAACAAATACTGCTGGTCTAGTCTATTTGCTCCAAACCCAAACCTACTACTGGAAATGATTGAGCGGGGTGGTGCCTGGGAAGAGGGTGCACAACTAGAGGGCTCTAAGGCTGACGAGGTGGTAGAATAGCATAACACATTCTTTCAATGCAAGTCAAAGGGTGACTTATCTAGTCAGAAGAGGCCAGTTAAAACACCCTCAAGTGCAAGAAAGTATTTACCATATGTTTTTATGTTCTAAATCCTAAATTTACAGCCATCCCTTTATAGGGACGACTTTTTCCCCTGTAAACTTTCTCTTTTTGATGCCATAGTCATTAATGCCCTTGAAACAGCCAGTCTTGGGCAGCTATATGAAGGCCAAGGGGACAGAAAGGGGGCTGCAGCAAGAAACACTGAGATCATCACAAGGTGTTATCTGACAGCAATGGATCAGCTTGAGAGAATCCACCCTGTGGAAGGTCCTGACTGGTATCTTCCGGCTATTGGACCCTCCCCTGTCTTTCTGGTGGAGACGCATTTCCTTATTTTGAGGCTGCAGGTGGGGGAATTATTTATAGATCGTTATACTGACCTCATCCCTGGGCACATTCTTTTACCTACCAAAATGAGGTGGTTAATGAAGTCCTCAGGGAGAAAAAAAAGCCTTAAAACTATGTTAAATGACATTTACAAATAATTTTCAAATTATTTACTGGTTATAATCACATATAGACACTTACTCTGCCATTAAACTCCGGACTCTACTGGCAAAAAGGACAGGATCATTTTTTTCTTCATCATTTGGTACTTGAACAGGCATAAACTGAAAGACAAATATACTTTTCCATAACAATCCTAGGCCAAAAACATCAAATGTTAAATTAACTAATTTATAAACTACCAATATAGTAAATCCTCTACCTTTCTAGAGCCTAGGTTATATGAGGTAATGGAACACTGGGCCTGGACCCAGGATATCCATATCTAAGCCTTGAGTTTGCCTATGTGTTAACTAAACTAGCATGTCACTTAACTTTGCTGAACTGCCTCCTCAACTCCCCAAAGAAGGCTATGACCATCTACTTCCCTATTTGTTGTGAAGGTAAAATGAACCAATATCTAGAATTCTGGAAGTTGTAAAGTTGTAACTACTCAGATCTTACTCTCTGAGCTGCATTTTCTGCCACTCCCAACCCTTTATATGAAAATATTCTGTTCTTTTCTGTTTTGCTTTTGTAGTTTTAATGTGTCTATCCATCCCAGCGTTAATCATATTTTTTTATTATTTGATCAAGCTCTATATTTTGTCATTTATTCTGCTTTTTAAAAAACCCTTAGTACTGGCTTTCTAGCATTTTGCTTAACTATTTTTTGCTTTATTGTTCTTACTTTTATTTTTTTCTCCACCTGATATTCTGTGATGCCTCATTTGTACTATCCTTGTTTTAGTTATGATTTCCTCACACTAATAAGGTTTTGGTGCCATATTCAAGTCATTACATACTTTTCGAGCACCTATTGTATGCCAGGCAAGATTAATAGAACCCTATTCCTGCTCTAAAGAAGATATATATTTTAATTGGATCGACAACATCAACAAACATGTACACTAAGTATCACTGCTCCTATTGCTTTCAATTACAGGTGGGGCTTAACAGCTAAATTAACTACCCAAAATTGTATATATCACATGGTCAGGATTCAGCCCAAGCTTGTCAGATTTGAAGAACATTTTCCCCACTAAACCATCCTTCCTGGAGTATGAGAACAAGAGGTAGGAAATGGTTAATTTTGACGAGTTGGTAGGAGTTATAGAGAAATACAAGCAAAGAGGGAGGAGGTACCTGGGGAGAGAGTACACATTCAAGAGCTACTTTTGTAGAGGATACCCTGCAGTAGAACTAATACTTGATCTTAGTTTTTTTTAAGGATAAGTGCGATTTTGCCAATAGCTACAGTTTATTGGATTGTAACTATAAACCAGACACTATGTTAGGTGTTTCATATATATATATATATGAATATGTATGAATATAAATATATATATATAATATTATTTCATTAATTCTTTCCCTATTTTTGTCAGAAGAAATAGGAGTTCAGAAAGATTAAATAACTTGCTCAAGGTACCTGACTCAATTCCATTCAACAAATATTCCCTATTGTGTATATGGCACTGCTCTAAGCCCTGAAGACAGGACAATAAAGTCCCTGCCCTCAAGAAGCTCTCCACGCAATGTGGTAGAAATTTATAATACAATGAGCTAAATCCACCAATAAGTGCTACCACCAAGGCTGGGCATGGTGGTTTACACTTGTAATCCCAGCACTTTGGGAGACCAAGGCAGGAGGAATGCTTGAACCCAGGAGCTCAAGACCAGACTAAGCAACATAGCAAGACCTTGTCTCTACAAAACACCAAACAATTAGCTGGGTGTAATGGCACATGCCTGTAATTCCAGCTACTTGGGAGGCTGAGACAGAAGGATCACTTGAGCCCAGGAGGTCAAGTGAGCTATGAGTGTGCCACTGCAATCCAGCCTTGATGTCAGAGTGAGATCCTGATTTAAAAAAAAAAAATAGTGCCTACTGTGTGCTGGGTACTTTATATTAGGGGCTGATTAACTGTCTAAACAGTATCTTGAGGCAAATCCTACCATTTCCATTTGTTAGATGAGGAATACAACTCAAGGAGGTTAAACAATATGCCAAGGTCATACATATATGACAGGACTACAATTTGAAATTTTAAAAAAAGATCCACACATAAAAAATACCACTTCTTTCAAATGAACCTGTTTTCAAATCTTGTTAATCATGTTAGATACTTAATAGGCATTGCTGACTCAGAGAGTAAGTTTAGGCAAGGGAATGACATGACCAGGTGCAAGTTTTTGAGCAGTAACTTCAGTAGTGCACCCAAGAAGCAGCATCTAAGGGTAGGGAGCACACCTGGAAACTACTACAATCGTGAAAGATGACAAGGCCTTGAATAGAGGGAGTGAGGATGTAGAACGGCATGGATGTAAGTGGCATTTTTAAGATAAAATGTATACAAATTATAGAATAATGTACTACAGGACATTTATTTTTCACATTTATCTTATTAATTTTATCTCAGAGGGCAGTGGCACCCTGCAGAAAGAACACTTGACCTAGGTTGTCGCCTGGGTTCTGCTGTATGATCCTAGAAAAGACATTTAGCATTTATGGGCCTTAGTTTCCTTGCCTATGAAATAAAAAAGTTTGACTACATGATGTCTAAAGTCCTTCTGTGTGGTTTGTTATTTTGCATCCAGTTGTTCTTAAAGATAGAAAATAACCTAAGCCACCAGAGGTCCTCATATCCCTACATATCCACAACAACTAGAAATGTTATGCAAAGAAATATTTCTAAAAATTTCCTTCATTCTGATCTAGTAAAATCTCTTGTGTTTGTTTAGTATGAAATCCAAAGAAGAAAACAGTAAGCTAAATGTTAATGCTCATAAAATCTCTAACAAAATAGTATAAGAAATTAAAGTTTTAAATTGCCATATCATTTTCAATTTTTAAAAAAGCCAAATGACTATTTATAATACACTTGATATGCAGGTCATAAAAGTACGCTAAAAACTCTGAAAAATAAATTGTTGCTCTACTGTTAATCAAACAGAATACAATGAAATATAGGTTTGGTTTCTATTAGTGTAGGTACTATTTTCTATAAAGTCATTTTTAATAACTCTCATATTGGCATGGCATTTTATTATTGAGGAAACAATTCCACTGAGAGTACAAAATAATTAAAAGCTTGGATTTAAGCCAGGCTCAGTGGTTCAGCGTGTAATCTCGCGCCTTTGGGAGGCTGAGGTGAGTGGATCGCCTGAGCCCGCGGGTTCGAGACCTGCCTGGGCAGGCGAGACCTCATCTCTACAATAAATGAAAAAATTAGCTGGGCGTGGTAGCTCACACCTGTAATTCTGGCTACTCGGAAGGCTGAGGCGGAAGGATCACCGGAGCCCAGCAGGCCGAGGCTGCGGTGGCCGGGAGCGGCCACTGCACTCCAGTCTGGGTGACTGAGTGAGATTCCAACTCAAAATAAATAAATAAATAAATAAATAAATAAATAAAAGCTTGGATTTGACACTCATGGGCCTTGGAGAAGCAATTTGGTGGACATTCTAATAAAAAGACACCTTCCCTAAAATAAGAACTTGCCCTCTAGATTACATTTCCACTTTATACATTCAAGGAACACAGCATAAACATACCCTTTTTTTGGAAAGGAAAATCAACCAAAGAGAGGGCAGCATGATGGTCACTATCATGGCCAACACATCTAAATACTCCAGCGACTTCACAACTCCAAGTTTTCCTTTTTGCCTTCAGCTTCTCCCATTTCCCTCAGTACTCACACTGATGATCCATTTGACCACATTTCTGATGGCCGCAGATATTCTTCTTAACTCTACCTCAGCTATGAAAACAAACATAGACTCCTAATCTCCTCCTCTGGCAAGTTCTTCAGTCAGTTTTCCCTCATTATCCATTAGTGTTTATTCCTCCTTTAATCTGATCTTGGATGGACCGTGCCAATCTAAGGGTCACATCAGAATCTTCTCACTCCTCTTTATTCACTCCCTCTGGCAACATCTGCTTGCCTATCTACACTGGACTTGGGAATCAGACACTTCCATGTTAGCTAGAATCTCTCACTTCACCACGCCCATAACCAATCACACATCCTTGGTCACTTCTGATCCTGTCTCCCCACTCTTGTTAGAGATCACTGAGAGATGCTATATATATATATATTTTAAAAGTTACACATGTTCTGTGCTTTTCTAATTGCAACTCCACTTTTACTTCACTCTCCCGCCTAATGGCACTTCACTTTCAAGATAGCCTACGTGAACTTATTCTATTTCCTTTACTGTTGCCCCTGAGACTGGCTCCACAGCTCCACTGCCCTGCAAATACAGTATTCTTTATACCTTCACCATACTTAACTCTGTACCATCCTGTGCCAGATGAGGAGGAGACTTATCAACATGTTTCCCAAACTAGCACTTTTTATTTGTGCTTTTGGGCCCAGAGTTCCCATCTCCTCTTGGTCCTTAATTAGACAGCACACATGAGAAAGTCAAAATTTCTAAGTCTTTTATTTAAGACCTTTCATTAACTAAAGCCAGTTCTTAACATAAATGCTCAGTACCAGTACCATTGTTTCTTGACCACATCAAGCATACTCCTCTCTATTAAATACTTGATGAGGAGGAAGAGGAAGATTGATAAGTGATGAAACTACAACCAATCTTTTCTTTTTTCCTTGTAACACAAAAAGATTTTTAAAGGACAATCTTAACAAATGTGCAGTTCTAGTTCTTTCCATGACTATTCTTTTAAATCTTCAATGAGAGAAAATGCAAAAGAAGGAAGACATTTATGAACAACACTTGCAGCTTCCTTCCCAAAAGAATAGAAACACTTAGATGAGAAGGGAAGTAAAAGTTAGTGCTTATTGAACACTTACCATGTGCCAGCACATAAGTAACCTTATAAACTAGATGTTATTATCCTCATTTTACCAGTGAAAACATAGACTTAGAGAGATTTAAGTAATTTTTTCAAGCACATACAAGTAGGTAATAGCAGAATTAAAACAAAATTCCAGTTTATATCTTTATAATACTCCATTTCTCTGTTAGTATTCATATATGCCAAAATTTTACCAAGAAAAAGTTCCAGAAGAAATGTGCTTTGTTAGAACAAGAAAGATGTGGTGTGTGTGTGTGTGTGTGTGTGTGTGTGTGTGTGTGTGTGTGTGTGTATGGGAGGGTG